TTTTTGTTAGAACCTCTGAAGTGGGTTTTATAATCAAAATTTCAAGATATCAATATATGTGTGTATATATACATGGTGTACAAATAGCAATTGTCTAATATATAAATACTGCTTCTATAAAAAAATAAGATACCTTAATCACAACAAAGACTAGGCTACTCGAAAGAAGGCATGAAGGATTTGGTCTGTGAACCAAGGATTCTACTGTCACTAGGATCCTCGGATTAGGTAGTTTTTATTATGCTTTAATTTGCTTATTACCTATATGATCCCGTTAGTTACATGAAATCAATGAACTTTAGAGTATCAGGGGATCTATACTAGCGATAAGCAATTCATACTTATTTACGTACATGGCAATGACTTTAGTTCCCACCATGTGAATACCAGTGATGCCTTACTATTGTTCTCAATGGAGCATCGCCTCAAGCCAAACTCGAATTAACATTATTAAATGCCTTCGCTTTGTCGATCAATCCGTCACGGGTCATGTGACTAGAATCACGTTTTCATAACCGTTACAAATCACATGCTGTGTCATTTCTTTATATGAGCCACATGCTGTGCTTAATAGACACACGAAATATTTTCATTCACCGATATGGCACAGTCTTTTCCAAAGTCTTAGCGTTAGTGAATTTAAACTTTGCTGAGAGCTTTGACCTGCGTCATGAGTTTCGCCTTTCGCCAGGGGTTTCGTCTTTCGCCAGTGGTTTCGCTTTTCGCCAGGGGTTTCGCCTTTCGCCAGGGGTTTCGCCTTTCGCCAGAGTTTCGCCACTTTCGTCTTTCGCCGGGTTTAGGTTTCGCCTTTCGCCATTCGCGCAAAACTGTTTCGCCTAACAACTGTAAATCTGTTGTATCCGCTTTAATTCCCAAGGATTCTGCTGATCAAGGAAATGCTGTCCTTGAAATACGTGCTGGTTAGCTTTATAATAAATTTTTCTATTATGTTCATGACATCTTTATTTCATCTATTATAATTTAAATTAATAGGCACAGGAGGTGATGAAGCTGCATTATTTGCTGCGGATATATTAAACATGTATGAACGTTATGCTTTTTTGCGCAAATGGAAATTTGAGAGATTATCGATTTTTGAGGAATCTGGCGCTATTAAGGTATTATGAATTTTTATTTCTTACATAGGATCTTGTTATTCTAAATCAATTGATTAGTAATATATTTATTAATGATTAATGATGTCACCTACACAAAATCCCTTACATCTTTTAATAATTCCGCAATTCTTATGAACCAACAATAATGCTAATCTAGGAAGCAACGGCTTTAATTTCTGGCAAAGGTGTATTTGGAAATCTGAGATATGAATCTGGTGTACATCGTGTTCAACGTGTTCCTATTACAGATAAATCGGGTCGTGTACACACAAGTACAGCGACAGTTGCTATATTGCCTCAACCAACTGAAGTAATTTGTTATTCTTTCTCGCTGATAATATAATATATTATGGTTGTTAATTTTTATAAATTTTTTAGGCTGATGTGAGTTTACGAGAGAGTGATCTTCGTATAGATTATTATCGAGCAAGTGGTAAAGGAGGACAACATGTAAACAAAACTTCTAGTGCTGTCAGAATAACACACATTCCAACTGGATGTGTCGTTGCGATCCAAGATGAGAGATCACAGCCACAAGTATATTAATATATATATATATATATATATTGACTTATTGGAAAATATTTATTGTCGCGGATAATACTGAAATTTGGGTCTCTATTCAATTCTACTAAACCTACTAAAATTCCCTTTTACTCTTACTAACAACCTAACCCTAAGTCATAACCTACCCTAAAAAAAATTAAAAAAAAAAAAAAAAAAAAAAAAAAAAAAATTAAAATAACCCAAATTCTCAGTATTATCCGATCTCAAATCAACCGTGATTTATTGATGTACTTATCCCTGCTTTGTTTAGAACAAAGCAAAGGCGCTTCAGATTTTACGTGCAAGATTATATGATATGGAACGTAACAAATTACATCAAGAAAGAAGTGAAAAAAGACGTCAACAGGTTGTATATTTAATTCTTGGTTTCAAACATGTTTGTATTAATGCTTCCTAATCGTTTTTTAATTGTCCAGGTAGGAACTGGCGATAGATCAGAAAAGATTAGGACATATAATTTTGCTCAGGTAATCTCAATGTATATATATATATTTATATGTGTTGCATCTGGAGTATCTAGATACTTGAAGTAGCTACTCCGAATGGGCCGTTACACCAGATGCAACATATATAAGTAATGCATTTTTTTAAGTATTACTAATACATTAATGATTTTTGTTATAAGAATCGCGTAACTGATCATAGGATCAACTTGACATTGCATCAATTGGACAATGTGTTAAAAGGAGAATCACTTCAAATTATTTTCGATGGGTTAAAAGCATATTATCAGTCCGAAGCATTACAAAATGCGATTATTAATAAATCTGTTTAGTATACTTATAATCGTTTGATGAAAATTGAAATATAAATTTGATTATCCGGATTTGAACAAAATCTATTTACCTTAGAATTATTTGACAGTTCGTTTTTCCATTCTTTTATCCTATAAAATTATTTTCTACTTTGAAAATCAAGTTATAAAAGCTTAAAAAGCGATAAATTGGCACTTTTGCAAAAAACATTCAAGATAAATTATCAGTTATATACGGTTAAACAAATCTTGTTTAGAGAATGGAAAAAACGGTTGTCATCACGTACGTTGGATGGTTGACTTGGCGAGGTGACATTATAATGACCTTAGATTACCTCAACAAGATATAATATAATCTGGTATTTAGGTGATAATATAGTCGCGTTCTACAAATAAAAAAACGCTGCCTTCTGACTCTGTATTGGATATTGAGTAATCAATACTATCGCTATTATCTATTATCTATCTGTGTGTAGCTCACGTAACTTCGATGTAGAATTTTCAATCAAGCCAATTCGACTTTTAGTCTATTAGAATATCAAATGTTTATTGTTCGACCAACGAAATTTTTTGCTCAAAATTTCTGGGAAAAAGCATTAAGCATTGTCTGGCTATTATAATATTGTTTCAGCAATAATATATTTTCTGTGCAAACATTAAACATTGTTTTCATTTATGTTATTAATTATTAAAACCAATAACATCGTTTTATTTTAAAAATTCGTTGTTTTGTCAAATCATACATTCATCAAAACTATTTTTATGTTTATTAATAAAGGGAGCTTTATTATAAAAACACCGCATGGGAAGACAGAATATTAAATTTCCGACTATTTTAAACCAAAGTTTTTTTTTTTTACATATAAATAAAAAAATTTTTAACTTAGCAGATAGAAGAATTTCTTAAATATGATAATTATATATCCACATCCACTTTGTTAATGGTACATAAAGTTTCACTACGAATTATCATTTAAAAGTTTTTTATTTTATCACAATCGTGGCTTGTTGGTAAAGCATCTATAAAATCTATTTGCAAAAGCGCTCTTAATGCTTTCGTTCAAGTATCAAAATGGTTGAATTGTAATCTTATTAACACGTCTATTATTTTACTGATTTTAGCACAAATTGGAAGCTTTCACTGTGAAAAAGGTTATTATATAGTAATAGACGTTCGATGCAAAAGAGCTGACTTCATATTTGAGAAAGTACGGTATGCTCTTCTTCCAGAACTATCGGCTCAGTACAGTGTTAACTATACATGTGTGTATGTCGTTTTAAATTATTGCTGTGAAGCCTTGTATCTAAGCATGCTCACTCTTAAGATACAATATCATGAATGATAAGCTACAGTAGCAGTAACTACAATGCTTTAGATTATAAACCATCTATGATAAATGTTCCATTGAAATTACTTTAAGGACAGTTAATAAACATGTCCTTTATATTGGGCAATGTTTCCTTGAAAGAAAATTCGTATCATAAGTAATAATTATATCGTTATATCCAACTACACAGGATATAACTAATTTATCCCGTCATTTATGTAACATAACTTTCATGCGCTTATTTTAAAGCAAAACTTTTATTTTACGCATTATTTTTGACATTCAAGATTAAATAATTACCTAAATTAAATAGATTTATGTCTAGTAGAGATAAGTACGTACATATATGAAAAAAGTTACGTAGATGGTAATAATCACAAAAAGCCCCCAGAGTGGCGTGGTTACTAAGATTTAGTCAAAAACTCAACAAATGTTTTTTATACGTGTATATGCGCGATATTCCATAATTATGTACAAATGGCTCAGAAATAATTGCATAATGTAAATAATAAAGTGGGCTTTTATTTTTGATATTTGTTGAAAAATATATTTGAGCTGAGCCATAATACGAAAATATTCCATCACGTTTATTCATTTTTTGAAGAAGCTTGATCTTTATTATATCTTGCATAACATCTTATTTAAAGTTAGATACAAGTTTTTGTAAAGAATTTAGGATAAATTAAAGTACTGTACATACATAATAATTCATTAATATATTCGCTTGAAAAATGGATCCTTCGAACCAAATGTCTGAAATTAGTCAAAAATTTCCCGACTATTACAGAATATCTTGTGTAGGAATACTACTGGTACCATGTATTATACTTACATTTGTTTGCCCTGTGCTTGGTAAGCCATACCAAGGAATAATAATTCACGTAATCGAAAAAATTGATCTTAAGACCTTTTTCTATTCAAGAATTTGAAAAAATCGCTTTATTTGATGCGACAAATGGTGAACTCACGTATTATCCATTTGTTGAATATATGTAGGTATTCTCATTTTGCGTTTTGTGATGACTATTATCATTTTCATGATTTATTGCTGTTATAACAAATTTTAATTCAGGTACCTGTTTCTCATGGCCATTGCAGTTGGTATGCATCAATTCATTTTATATAAAAAAAAAACAGACAATACAAAATTAAACTTCAAACTATTCTGTAGTCGTAAGTTTATTCGGATGTACGTGCCTGTGTATCGATAATGTAATATATGAAAGATACAGGTAAATAAATTCTTCCTGCAAAATTATTTCTATATACATTGGGAGCACAAATATGACTTAAAATCTCTGCCGCAGACACTTTTTATGGTGTTGGTTATTTGTACCGGGTACGCCATCTCTTCTGAATATTCACCATCTCAAATTACATCTTATTTTAAAATGATCACATTATCTTATTTTAAAATAGCCCTCTACACTCTATTAACAACCAACGAAATGGGTGATATACCATTTGATTGTCCGTCAAGTTATCCATACACTTCTGTGGTTGTTAAAGAAGCATGTGAGATTAGAATTACTAATTTAATTTGTATGTGGATATATTTTATGTGTTTTATACCTTTGTCAATGACAATATATTCATTAGTAAAAGAAAATTCATGAATGCTCAGCAACTAGTTATATTTTTTGGACTCGGTGAAAGATTATGTCAAAATTGTAAAATATGGTTGTGCGTACTTTTTTTTAGATAAATTCTTGATACGTATGTGTATATATTAAAAAAAAATCAATTCATAAAATTTTGAATCTTAATCATTGTGGCGACTGAAGCTGAGATCGGCTGAAGCTAAGGTTTTGAAAAAATTTTTGGGCCTTTTTTGTCAGCTTTTTTTTTAGAGTTAGATTAAGGTTTTATTAATAAAGAGTACAAGAAAATTTTAGTAGGTATTATAGATTTAAATAGAGATCCCAATCTCAGCTTCAGCCGTCACAATAATTTAATTATAAAAGATTTTACACTTTCAACATTAATCAAAATTGTTTGATGCTGAATATTATCTCATATTACAATATACTTATTTATTACATAGTTATTCTTAGAAGTTGCATAATTATAGTTAGTTATTCTTTATTTACAGTTAAATTTTAACACTCATTGCTTATCATTATATAACTTATGTTAAAGCTGAATTGCTATAACTTTATATTTGTAATTTATGCAAAATTAATTAATTGGTTTTTATCATTTAGTTGGGTCAAATTTTAATATATTTAATAATCAAATAGTTTTTTTAAAAAGTTTAATAAAAATTTTATAAGATTTTTTTACAAAAATACTAAAAAAATATAGAGAATATTTAATATTATATATATTTATATAAGTTTAAATTGAAGTTAGATGAACTGTTGTTAGAAGAATTAATTCTCTTTGGGTCATTTTGCATTTGCCTCTGTTTCACTTTCGTGATTCTATCTCTAAACTCAACATTCTCAAATTTCAACTTTTCAGTTCTGGTTTTGAGTTTGGCATTCTCATTATCACACCATTTATTCTCTTTCACAGCCTAGCCTTAGAAGCTTGGCAATTCTATCATTAAGCTCAGCTTTCTCAGCCTCAATCTTAGCAAATTTCCTTTTAATATCAGGGGTTTTAGCATACTCCTTCCTAAGCTCTACAATCTTATGAATCAATAGATTGAGCATTTAACATATTTGATATACCTGTTTATATATTAATATTTAAAATCAATAATTATACATGTAAACAATTGTTTACACTAATCACAAGAAAAATTTTGTTAATTTTATAAAATATTATTACTATACAAACCTCAACAAGTAAGTTCTTGAGAATGAATTATTTGAAGGTTTGAAATAATGCAATACAATAAAGTTGTTTATTCATCTTATTTATATTATAGAGCAAAAATTTTGATATAAAAAATCTATTTTTGTATATTTTAAAACAAAGATATAATAAGTATTGTTTTATTATTTTTATTTGTTTATCCTTATATTATTTTATAAAATCACAAATCTATAATTAAACTAATATTAGTTATAAATACAACTCTTTTACATAATATATTAGTTCTTTTAAAATGTTTATTAATATGTATTATAAAGATGTATATACAAGATCTGGGTTTCTTATATTTCACCAATTTTAAAATTTTTTAATAGACTTGAGTCTAATATATACTGAGAGGCTATATCATGTGAAAAAAAAAATTAAAGTGCATACATACTTTGTATTTATAATAAAAGCTTAGCTAAGCAAAAAAACATATTTAATTAATAAAGATTTAGTAGTTTATACTTGGATCTAATTTATAATAGATCTAATATTTTGGAGATCTCATATATGCATTTTATTGACTAAGCCAAATCTAGTGTTTAGTATAAGTGAAAACTTGTTCAATACTTGAGTAAAAC